GTTTCTCATCTACGCGATTACCTCTACACGCGTGACCGTAACCGTCGGTTGAAGGTTGCATACTGACCTGACGCACTGACCCCGACCCAGTTCTGTCGTCGGGTTGAGCTAGTGTCCTAATACCACTCGGGGATGTAGCGGCTACAGGACGGTATTCAGATATTTTTGATGTTGCAGAGCCCTTTATCTCGGTTCCCTTAAGACATTGGTGTATATGGTACCAAGAAAAATTGCTTATGTTTTCAAGATCTACACGTCGTGTAAAGGAAAACTCCAACTTTGCGGACACCCTGTAGAACCTCTGTAAGAGCGAACTAGCGCGCGATCTGCGCATGCGGACTTACTCTGTTGGTTTGGGCAATCAGCACAGCACATTGGAGGCAGATACTTTTTCAAGGTAGTGCATTTTCACCTTGTTCATTGCGAACGTTGCCAATAATCCTGAGTAGGACTTCGACCGTCCACAAGATAGCACTTAGTCGTTTAAGATCTTTAGAAGGTATTCAGATTGAAGGACTTGAATGCTCTAAGTTAACAGGAAAACACACCATGCAACAGTGAAGCTTTAAATGAAATGATTAGTAAGATATTTCAATACCACATGTCCAAAAAAAACTAATTGATAAATCGAACTAAAAAATTAAAAATAAATAATAGTTTAAAAGAACTAAAAAACACGCTTTTATAGCTAACCGAACTAAGAAGTAGAAATTATCTTTTAATTAATGACCTCAAAATAAAATTAAAGATATCAACAGAATAATTCAATCCAAAGTAAAAAGCGTTTCACTACATGTTCATAACTCTCCTCTCATCGATAGTTGCCAATAGAACGATGTAACATTTAATATATCAAGCAATTTTTATAATTTTATTTTGATTTTATTAATTATGAAGGATTGTTCGATCATTTACTAATAAAATATAAACTCTTTGTAATTAGAAATTATTTATTTATTAGCTATAAAAGCGTGTTTTAGTTTTTTTAAACTATCATTTATTTTGTCTGTAGCTCCGCCACCCCTGGGTCGATTTTCAAATTTCATCAAAAGCCGACCGGTACTATAGTTGTAGCGGGGTCAAGGATAAGCGATGACGGAAATTCGGATATGATTGACATGGTTTCGCGATTACAATACTTCAGTAGTTCAGGAAATAAAATGTGTAAAAAAGCAGTCGTTTATCGGTAAATGTTGCTCCCTAATGCCTAACAGAAATTTATTATCGTGACAGTCAGGGGGTTGCTGCGAAATTATTTCTACAAAGCTAAATTTTTCGAAACACAGGTTAAAAAATGACACGTCTAGAGCTTTATTAAGCACACCCTGACGTATTCTATACGTGATAGTTCCGCTTGACGTTTGAAACAGCTGTTTTCTATCAAACGGTTAAGGAACGTCAAAGGACACTAGATTCAACACCCATTCATAACGACCATTTTTTGTTCCTGTTTGTTGGAAGCTTCTGTTAAATAGTAGTTTCACAAATTCAAGTATAGAAATGTTTATTTTATTCAATTTAATCGACTGTATTGTAGCAAATGTATATATAGTACAGTTACAAATGGCGAAGAATATCATCACTACCTTAACCTAAAATCTAGAGTGCGAAAAACAAGTGCCGACGCGCGTTGCTATCGTATCCACCGCGATTGCCGTGCCATCAGTCTCGGACGCCATGACACACTTATGACGGGCCAGGTCAAGGATCCAACGCCAGTGCGTATCAAACGTGTATCGATTCCGATTCAGATCGGAGTACGTCAGAGGGCTAGCAAGGTGTACGGTGAGAAATTGCGTACGTGAATTCCTTCTAGATCGACACGGCCCTGACGCTTTCTAGATTTTTCTTTTCCACTTGCTACACGGCAAATTTCCAAGACTGCCATTTTTCTTCCGCACGAATTTTTCGAAAATGCGATATATATTTGAATGTTATGTGACATGCAAAATCACGAAAAACACGTTCTTTTCCGGCGATCTGTCCGCTAATCTTATAACCCCTTATAACCTTGAGAAGTATCGTTCGGATTTCCATAAAATTTTGCACAATGTTACTACTATGCCAAGGACGCAAAAGTTATTTAGTGTTTGAAAATCGGTCCAGCGGCGGCAGAGGCCAAGAACGAAAATTAAAAGCCGCCTCTTGTTTTGTCATTACATTAATTAGCTCTTAAAACTATTCTCAGCAGACGGATCGCGTACTTACCGGCCGCGGCTGCTGCTCCCAGCGGCATGCCGCGGGCCTTGGTGGTATTATAGGTATTTCAGACGCGCCAGCATCATAATGTTTCATATGATCTGACCGCGCTGCCACGTCTGACCGAGTTAAGTCTCAGGGTAGACATTTCCAGATGCACCACCGGTAGGGCAGGGAAAGAATGTCTACGCACTAATTGTATGGACCTGTTTGACTGACTTTTTCTCAGATGGTCTAGTTTGTGCTGAACATGATCCTTTATGAACTGATAACAGCGTTGCGGGGGGAGTAAAGAGTTAACCTATTTGACACCATTTTTCCAAGAAAATAAGTAAGGTATATGCATAGGGAATTTGCATCGTGTGTCTACTGCATGTCGAGATTTGTTTTGTTTCATGTAAAATATGATAACTGTTTAACTATTTAAGGGTGTGAATCTACATGAAAAAAAAATGCATGTTAGTTTGCTTAAATTTATAAACTATGGTCCAAAAATGTTTCTTTACAAAAACTCGGGGTGATGAAGTTTTAGGAAACAAATGGAAATTAATTAATATTTTCAGAACCGCTTCAGATATTTCACTGATATTTAGTACGTAGTGAAGTTAATAAGGTTGCATATTTTTCAATGCAAAAATATTGTTTAGCTTTAACAGTGGCGTGCGTACGGGTATTGACTTCGATATTTACAAAAAAATGGTACGCCCGATGGTTTTTTGAAAAATAAAAATTTTTTTTGATTTCCCGTTCAATTTAAAACAAATGATCTCTCTTGATTGTTTTCCTTCGATGTGTCATTTTGAGTAAAAAATAAAAGCGTTGTATTGTCTAACTTGCAATATTATTATTAATTTAGTTGGAAAATTAAACACATTAGGGGTAATGAAAACAAGAACTGACAACAGAAACATAACATCAAAACCAACGAAATGATTACAAAATTGTTGAAAATGGCCCTCCTTCACTTAGTATGCATGCTTCCGCCCTCCTCATGGAATTGCGCACTCATTAAAATGTCCCTGGAATGTTTTTTATTCTATCGCAAGCTGCAACAATTCTTTCTCTTAATTCCTCTACAGTGTTAATGGGACTTGTATACACTAGTATCTTAAGAAAGCCCACAAAAATAAATCTAAACTGTTGAGGTCTGGGGACCTTGGTGGCCTTTCTTGGGGCCCACCGTGGCCAATCCAACGATTTGGATAAACAGTTTGTAAATAATTACGAACTGCTACACTGAAATGCGCTTGTGCACCATGATGCATGTACCACATATTGTTTCTTATTACTAACGGAACATCATCAAACAGCAAATGCAACTGTTGTGAAGAAAATTGAGGTAAGTCTGTCCGTCAAGTCGTCCCGGCAAGAAGAATGGGCCAATTAAGTGGTTGCCAATAATTCCTGCTCATACGTTAACCGAAAATTGGTGTTGGAAGTGGGATTCGGTAATGGCATAGGGATTTTCTTCTGTCCACAAATGATTACTGTGGAAATTCTGAATGGCATTTCGAAAAACATTAGCTTCTTCCGTGAACAGAATCATTGATTCAAATTGCGTGTTTTGTGTAATTTCTTGAAGACACCACTGACAAAAGGTCACACGCCTTGGAAAATGAATGGGAAGTAATGCCTATACTCTTAAAATATGGTAAGGATATAACAAAAAATCCACTGATGTTCTCCAAACAATTTGATGGCAAATATTTAAGTGTCTAGCGATCTTCCTCGTACTCGTTTCAGGGTGTTCTTCGACTAAGTGCAGGTTCCTCAATTTCAGGTGTACTCACACTTAGAGGTCTACCTTCAGATGTTCCTTTTCGGACAGAACCAGTTTCAACAAGACGACGATGAATATTAGAAAAGGATCGACTATCTGGCAAAGCACGATCGGGATATCTCTGCTGATAAATCCGTCTGGCTTGCTCACCATTACCGTCGGCAAGGAGATATACGTAATGCATTTCCGTCATTTCTTCATTTGAATAATTCACCATTATTAACAAGATTGTAAAAACTAAATAATGAAAAAGATGTCACAACGAACAGATTTGAATAACAGAAACTTGTCAGATGTCAAAAGCCAGTGACATATTCCAGAGCAACTAAATATTTATTGCTAAATTGCATGCTTCAATTATTACATTAATTTTCTCGGACAATAGAAT